TATATATATATATATATACATACATTGAAACAAGTCCCTGATCGTTAATGAGAGTTAATTAGAAACTATTTTCAATTGTTCTAGCTCTCAACTCATTTTAAGTTTTCGAGAGCTAATAGAATGAAGCAAGCTTGTAGATCCACACTTACAAAAATTGATATTAACACTATATTTGCTACCTAAAAAACAAAATTATAATTATTTTATATGTATTTAACTACGTATTCTATAAGGAAAATTGTCTTTATAAAGAGAATCTATACATAATTATTATGTTAACCTACATTATAATGGCCAATTCTCAAAAGAAAGGAAATTAACAAGCTTTAAATTTTATTTGATCAACATTTTGCGCTCTAAGAAATAAAGTCTATTTCTGCCCTAGCTTAGAATAAATTCATATAAATTTAACACAAAATTACCTATCTAAAACCATGAAGAACACTGATGTCACTTAAAATCTTATTAAATCCTTTAAAAATATTAAAATCAGTGATGCTCCTGCTTAAATCAAATAGAAAATAAATCAAATATTTAAATAGGAAGTTTACATCTAGGACCATTACTTGTAAATCATTAGTGACTTTTGTTTAATTTATGTATATATCTGCTTAAGTTGCCTTTAATAATTCCTTACTAAGCATTATTAATATAATAAGAAAACCAATTAAATTAAATTACATACTATTTTTCAAAATGCTGTTTTGCAATTCTTCTCAATAGTAACCCTATTATCTCTCATAGAATATGAGTCTTGCTTAATTAACGAATAAATAAGGACTTTATTTTAGGCCTAGTAACCATTACCTGCCTCCAGTGATTTTCTCTTTAAAAATATGTTGACAAAATTCCTTAATAAAATATATTTGTTAAAGCAATATATTCATCTTAGCTTCAAGTGTTTAATTAAAGTTCAAAATTAATATAAGTTTATTCACTTGATAAAGCTTTGCTCATTAAATAAAAAATATATATATATAGTTATATATTATACTGCATAAACTCAGCCAAATAGCTTAGCCTCTAACTGATAAAATTAATCAGACTGTTCGGCAGATAAGGACTTCATTGACAATTTAACTAGTAAGTTTCAGGTGCACGAAATATTTCGCTTGAGATAATCTTAACATTGAGTTTATCTAACTATCCTGAATATTTCTGTCTTTATTTAAGGACATTTATCTCAGCTAGTAGACTTTAGTTAACACCTATTGAATGCAACGCCTTTTCAAAGAATATATCCGAAATATAAAGAGACAACAAATAATGTGTCTAATGCTGCGTTAAATAATTCTACGAAGACTAAGGATAGATTATAATTAATAATCAAATTTTATTGGAATTATGTAATTCCTTGATAAATAGGATTCTCTACAGAAAGAAAATTATTATTTTTAAAAAGATCTAACAATTTTGTACGGCATTCTTTTTATGCCTCGAATTATTGTATAAAATATACAAATGCTGTCTGCGGAAACCAATTTTATTTTATACCAAAAAGTTATAATAAAATATTTGGCTAACCTTCAAATCTTAATAATGATTTCGTTAGAATTCACAGCCTAAGCCAGATTATTATTTTGATAGTAAGTTTTCTGTAGCCTAAATCTTAACACTTGATTTGATATGAAATCCGAAGAGAATCTAAGTTTCGATGAATCCCTTGAGATAGAATTGTTGGGGGGACTTTAATTTTGTATGAACGTGCATTAAGAAGAGATTCATAGGTAAATCTCAGCAGAAGAGGACAGATGAATTTCGTTGTACTACAGCCTTTTGGCTTTTATACAACGTTCAGGTTGACACAGTCCACGAGACATCCTCCCTCGTTTCGAGTAAAAACGTGCTGAACTTTCGTCCATCATATGATAGACATCATCAGAGCTAAGTGTCATTTTTGTAAAAGTCTCACGTTAACATTAGGCCAAGAACACTATTCTGCTCTTACTTCTTATATAGACCAAATTGAGCCAAAATAAAATAAAAAACCTAGATAAATCAATATAGAGTGATTTAATTAATTATATTTCATACTGGTCCTATAACCTTTGCTCGAGTGTATGCGTATGTGTATGTGTGCGTATTAGCGTCTATATGCAAAACGGTTACTAAATGGAAGATGTAGATACGAAGATAAATTTGGTTAGACGAATCTCTTGAGATAACATTATCTGCTCATGTGGTCGATGTTATATTGGCGAGACGTCCCGACCTATTCAACAAAGGTTGGTAGAACATAAAAATGCTTCTAAAGGAAGCTGGATCGAGAAACTGGACATGAAATATAATGGTATCAAACTAGTAGGTGTGCTGATTATGGTACGTCTGTGGTTAAAAAAAGGATAAGAGAGGCTATTGAAACTAATAGCTTAGAAAATACAGTGAAAGTGAGGAACGGTAATAGAAAGTTGTTTACGGACCTACGCAGTCTCAGTCAAGGCTTTCTCTTGGGTCATTAGGCCTTGAGGATTAGAAAATGAGATTAAAATTTTGACAACTCTGATTTAGGAACCGTATTGCATATATATGCTAACACGCACAAATACACGTATTCATAAACTCGAGCAAAAGTTACCGGACCAGTATGAAATAAAATTAACCAAAACACTCTATATCGATCTATCTAGGTTTTTAATTTATAATTTTTTGGCTCGATTGAGTCTATATA